TACAAATGCGCTTTACACAATTGATGTGTGTATGGATTGGGATAACAGTTGTATGAGCCCCTAATAAAATGTTAAAAAACAAAACAAACAAACAAAAAAAAGAAAGTGACTTTCACCGCTCCTATTTCGCAAAGCTTTACTGGCACATTTAAAAGAAAGACTCACCTAGCACCTATCCTGAATATGACTGTGAGTATATTGCCCTTGGTATAAAAATATCTGGTGAACCACTGAAAGGTATGATTTGAGTTTGCAGGACTTCTTAGGGAGAATCCCAGGACAGCAAAGGAAGAGATTAGTATTATCAAATTGCTCATAAATTGTGGATGTCAAGACAACATGTGTGAAGAGGACCATAAGTTTTCAAAATTATTTTAAAGGTACCAGAGGATAAAGTTTAGAGCAGTGGTTCTCAACCTTCCCAATGCCGAAACCCTTTAATACAGTTCCTCATGTTGTGGTGACCCCCCCACCATAAAATTATTTTTGTTGCTACTTCATAACTATAATTTTGCTACTGTTATGAATCGTCATGTAAATATCTGATATGCAGGATGTATTTTCATTGTTACAAATTGAACATAATTAAAACATAGTTGATTAATCACACAAAAAATATGTAATTATATATCATGAAATATTTATTTCTAATTACAAATAAATGAAATCTTGTCTTGAAGCATGATGTAGCATGGGCAACAGTCTTAATATAACAACAATAAAATACATTGCTACATTTTGCGACAGTATTCATAAAAAGCCAACATTATTGGAGGGAGGGTGGGGTAGAAAAGGAAATTGATTCCAGGGTTCCCCTTTATAACCTCATCCCTGGGAGACGGACAACAGAAAAGTGGGTGAAGGGAGACGTCAGACAGTATTATATATGACAAAATAATAATTTATAAATTATCAAGGGTTCATGAGGGAGGGGGGAGCAAGGAGAGAGGGGAGGAAATGAGGAGCTGATGCCAAGGGCTTACGTGGAGAGCAAATGTTTTTTTTTTGAGCAAATGTTTTGAGAATGATGAGCACAATGAATGTACAAATGTGCTTTACACAATTGATGTGTGTATGGATTGTGATAAAAGTTGTATGAACGCCCAATAAAATAATTTTTTTTTAAAAGCCAACATCAGTGTGAAGGTTGAGATAGCTTCTTTCTCATCAGATCAGAAATTCTCAGGCAGTCTTTGCAAGAGCACAACAAGTCTACTTCTGTATTTAGACTTGATAACCAACAAGCTGGAAAACCCTGTTTCACAAAGATATGTTGTTGGAAATGGAAGAAGGCGGAACACTGTCGCAGACAGAACAGGCTAGGACTGCAAACACTTGATGCAGAATTTTGTAACTGGCATTGTAGAGAAATCCGTTCTCGCTGCATCGCTTTAATAAGTTCAGTGAACTCCTTTTGTGCTGTCTCAGGAACATCTTCAACTCTGACTGTGAACGGGCTTCTGGCAAGTGCAAATGGGGTGTCAGGTAGATTTGGGAAGTATGATGAAATTTTGTCTGCAAGCGTGTGCAAGTGTTCTTTCACAGAAATTATCATCATAATCCTTTTGTCTGGCGCAATGTCATGTTCCTCAAAGAAAGCAGCTAAGGTAGGTAGGCAACATGTAAATTTTATTTTCATCCAATTTTTTTTTTTTTTTTTTGCCAAAGCTGAAGTTTCATTTGGAATGATGGGATCTTTTCAGACAAATTGAGGCATATCGCATTTGGTCCTGGCAGTGATAAATTTAACTCATTCAAGTGGCAACCAAGTAAGCTATTTTCTGCAGTCCACTTTTATCGCTGAAAAGTACTTTGAACTGCGGACTTGCTTTCTGGTTAAAAAAACGTTTTGAGTTCATCACGAAGGTTAAAAACACATTTTACAAAATACTTCATGGCTTAGGGACTTTGAATTGGTAAATATTCATGGTGTGGGGGGAAAAATGCATGAATCCATACTGTGTGACCTCAACCACCTAAAATTGTATGCTCAGTCATTTATATACATGCATAGAGTATAGAAAGATGTCAAACTGTATGAAATCATCAAAATGATTTTGGATGCCTTTTGTGTTCTTTGCTTTTTACTTCTTGCTTCTCAGTTTTTTTATAATGCACAAAAAGCTTGAAGTTAAAAAAAAAGTGATTTTAAAAATGTGCATGGAGTCCCCATTGCCTATGAATAAAGTTAGCTTGCTGACACCTTAAAAAAAACCACATTTAAAAATGTTTCCTCTCCACAACCATCTCACTTCAGTGTGAAATAGCAGAGCATTGTTTGGCACATCCAACTCGCTGCACAGTTGCAAAAACAGTCGACGGTTTGCAAAATTGACAGAACTTATGACGCTTTTCATTACTTCCTGTAACTCTTGTGGCAGTGTCTTCATTGCTAATACTTGCCAATGAATTTTGGTGCGTTCCAATGACTTTTAGTGACTCATTCAGTATCAAACGTTGAAATCCAGATCAACATCCTAGCATAGCTGGAACACCATCTGTGCAAACACCACAAACCTTTTCCCAAGAGATCTTATGTTCTTTCAGAAATGAACCAACTGTGTCAAATACATCATGTGCAGTAGTTGTTGTTTCAAGAAGTTTGCAAAAAAGAAACTCATCTTTAAAGTCACCATCATTAGTATGCCTCATGTAAACCAGTAACTGAACAGTTTGCAGCATCTGTAGATTTATCAAGCTGGATGCTAAATATTGGAAGTGGAGCCGATTTAATTTCCTGGATTATCTGATCAAGACTATCAGCAGACATGTCACTTATTCTTCTGTGGACAGTGTCATTAGATAAGGAAATTGCCCTCAATTTCATAACAAATTCGTCTCTGATCATAACTTGCAATGTCTTTGACCGCTAGCAACAGTAAATCCTCAGCAATGGTGTGAGGTTTCATAGCCCTGGCGATTCTGAGTGCCACCAAATATGAAACTTCAACGGCTGCTACGTTTTGTTTGTGGTACTTGCCACCAGTGTCGAGTCTGGCTTTCTTGAGTCCATCAGCTTTGCTTCTAAAATAGTTGGTATCCTTGCCGGCAAAGCTCGGATGCTTGCTATCAACATAGTGAGTTAGTTTGTTCAGCTTCATAGATTCGGCTGATAGAACTTCACAACAAATAACACATTTCAGTTTCTCAATTCCTGCTGTAATTATTGAGGTAAAACCATACTGTAAAAAATCCTCACTATAATTTCTTTTCTTAACGTTCTTCTCTACACGAGCCATTGTCATGGGATGGTTTGCTAATGAAAATAATATATAACAATATCTTTAATAGTACCAAAGATGATACATGGCATAGTTCAGTCAATGCAGTTCATTAAGGTTTCCTATGATTTACCATTCTGTGTTGTTTTTTTACATACCCGTTACTATCACCAGGGGACAGTATTCACATCAACCACAGTGGAATATAAAAAGACTGATCAGCATCCAGATTAAATTCTCATGGTACAGATATATATTTTTTGCAGTAGTTGATGATTTTACAGTACATGATTTTACATTTACCCAGTAATCAAGTGTCATTTTACCTCCAATACTGCTGCTTTTAACATAGCAGCTGCTTTCTATACAGTAGCTGCTCTCTACACGTGTGACTGGTCTGCATAAGTACATTATGGCGCCAACCCTGTCACACACCTGTATTTGTTTGGGGTATATGTGATAGGGTTGGCGTGATGATGTCATCACATCAGGTACTCCTATGTGGGCATATCTGCATGTGGGCAGACCTCCCTGGAGACGGGTAGAGGAGCAGTGTCTCAGTTCCTAAGACCATTGGAAATATGTGTTTTCTGATGGTCTAGGTGACCCCTGTGAAAGGGCCATTTGACCCCCAAAGGGATCGCGACCCACAGGTTGAGAACCACTGGTCTAGAACATCTACGTTAGGCCACTTGTAATAAAGGTGCCGCCCAGTTGGTTCTGACTCAGCGTCCCTATGTACAACAGAAGGAAACATTGCCTGTTTCTGCACCCTCCTCACCATTATTGTTCTCCTTGGCTCATTGGTGCAGTCACGGTGTCAATCATGCTGAGCGTCTCTGTCTCTTTTTCACTGCCCTGCTACTTTACCAAGCAGCATGTCTTTCTCAAGGGACTGGCCCCTCCTGATAACACAGCCAAAGTATAAGAGACAAAGTCCTGCTATTTTTGCCTCTAAGGATCATTCTGCCTCTACTTCTTCCAAGACAGATTTGTTTGTTCCTTTGGCAGTCCATTGTACTTTCAATATTCTTCCCCAGTACAGCACTCCAATTCAAATGTACTGATTCCTCTTCGGTCTTCTGTATTCACTGTCCAATTTCTACATGCAGCTGAGACCATTGAAAATACCATAGCTTGGATCAGGCCAGGCGTACCTTAGCAGATTCTCGCTTTTCAACACTACACAAGTCTTGTGCAGCAGATTTACCCAATGCAATGTGTTGTTTGATCTCTTACCTGCTGTTCCCTGAGCATTGACTGTGGATCCAAGCAAGATAAAATCCTTGACAACTTCAATCTGTTTTCTGTTTGTCATGATGTTACCTTAGTCCAGTTGTGAGGATTTTGCCTGCATCCTGATCTTCATCAGCAAATGCTTCAAGTCATCCTCCCCTTCAGTAAGTAGTAAGTTTGTGTCATCCGCATATCGCAGGTTGCTGATAAGAGTCCCTCCAATCCTGATGCTGCATCCCTTTTCTTATAATCTATCTTCTCTGATTATTTGCTCAGCATGTAGATTGAATAAGCACAATGAGAGGATACAACCCTGAGTTAGTTAATTGTGCCAACCTGGCCGATAATCACATGTGGGGCTAATTGAAAGGTGGAGGGATAAATGGGTGGTGATCCTTGCCTTTCTAGTTCTCGGGTCTCTTGTTTTGTGATGGTCGCACCAGGGTGCAGCTGCCTTAGCAGTTCCCTGCTTCAGCTTGCAAGATTGACTTCCTACAAGACATCCCCAAGGAGAAGCCACATGGACCTATCCTGATGCAGCCCTGGGTGCTGGAGCAGCCGTGTGGAGACCCCTGCTAGTGCTGAGATGCTTATTCGTTTACTGACTCAGCTTTCCTCCTGCAGTCGGCGTCATTGCTTCTGTTTTGTGAGGTGGAGGACTTTGTGGACTGGTGTTGGGTAAATGGGTTAATGTTGGGCTTGTGGGCTTGGGCAGCATTGGGTTGGGATATTTTCATGATGCACCTTTTCTTTACATAAAACTCTCTTATACATGAGTTGCTGTGGATTTGTTTCTCTAAAGTACCTAGACAAATACAAATCCTAACACCCATCTTTCTTAGTTTTAAACCAGGTAATATTCCCTTGTATTGTTTGCATACCTGCCTCTTGAGCCATGTCAGGTTCCGCATGAGCACAAGGAAGAGTGCTGGAGTTCTCATTCTTCTCAAGGCTGTCCCCGGTCACCTAGGGAATTTAACAATAAAAATCCCCACCCCTGTGCAATTAAATTCAATTATTTGGTTTCTGGACTTGGGCTTTGTAGCTTTAAAAGCTAATTGTTATTTCGAATGTGAAGTTGGGGTTGAGAAGCACTGGCTTAGGGGAAAAATATTAAGTTTAATATGGGTACTGGTGAAAGGGATAGTGCAGTAAGGAGGAGGAACAGATTTGAAAAATCACCCAAAGAATTTCTACTTTGGGAAGGGCTTTGCAATATTCAATATCTGTTGAATAAATCAGTAATTTCTTTTTTTAAAGCTATTTCTGTATTGCTTTTTCCCTCCCATATTGCTCTTTAAAAACAATATATATATTTTTCCAAAACTATTTTATTGGGAGTTAATACAGATATCACATCGTTCCATAGTTCTATCACATCGAGCAGTATTGTACAATTGTTACTACAGTTTCAAAACATTCTCTTCCTTCTGAACGCCTTGATATCAGCTCCCCTTTAACCCTCCACCCCCACTGTGCCCCTGAGGACCCTTATTCTAGTTTTTGTCTTTATAGGTTCATTAATCCTGAGTTTCATACACTGAAAACAAATAAAAATTCAAGAGAATTACCCCCAATGACAAAATACACCTGAGATAAATCCCAATATGAAAAACAAAACAAACAAGCAAAAACAAAAAGTATGGAAAACGCTGAAAACCAGATCAGGCCCAACATGCATCAGAGGGGAGATCAACCGACAAAGTTATAACTGTTCAAGTCAGGTTTATCATTTCGATCTCCATAGTCATCTCTCCAATGCACCCTGTTTGGTAACCCAAATTAGTAATTTCCATATGATGCCCTCAGAGGTAAAAGTGGCAGAATCGGCATGATTGCTTGGTTGTAAGGAGTGAAGGAGAGGAGGATGTCAAGACAAAATCCCTAATATTTATATATATTTACATTGGCTGCACATATATTCATAATTATGGTGGAACATATAGGGGTCAAGTTATGAAAAGTTCTAAGGCTTACCCAAAACCTTGAGGAAATGTGTCACTGAGCCTAGGGCATCTGGGGCATAGTCTTGGGGGACACCAAGGTCAATTGATAACATAATTCACAAACAATACCTTACACGCTAACTTGGTGAATAACGACTGGGGTCATGAAAGCTCATGAATGGGCATCTAAGAAGCAACTATTGG